CATGTTCACCAGGGTGGCCGATCGAGTGTGGCCATGTCAACCCGTAAGCGCTTGCTCAATGAGGATATGCGTGCGTGCGTGCATGTATGCATGCATGCATGCGAGAGAGCGAGAGAAGAGAAGTGGAGGCGCTGAGGCAGGGAGCGAAAGATTTTCAGCATGTGTGTATATCTTCCTGCTGTACATGCCACCGAATTGACGCTCTCAAGGCATTTTAGCCTTTCAAGAGGATGTAATTCATTTTTACTTGCACTTAGAGAGTCCGATTTGCCACGAACTGCCTCGAATTAACTTCGAACTCTTATGGCCTTGCAACTGCCGACTCCCAATCCGCCCCTACATCCTCCTAGCCAACACTACTCTCGACTTGGACGCTCTTGTCCACTTGTCCTTCTCCTTTGCGCTCATCTTCCCAACTCTGCCTCATTCGTCAACCCTTCACTTTCACTCTGCTCCGTCCTCCCATTACGACCACGCCAAATTGACCATCTTTATGTATCCTCATCGATTGCTTCACTCCACCGCCAGAAAGACTTAGGCATAGCTCTTCCTCCTTCCCAATCGCCCTCGCCCTCGCCCTCGCCCCCTTTCTCGCCTTCGACGAGCTGTCCCGCTTCAACATTTCACCGCCTCCACGAACTGCCTAAACCCTGGCCTCTGTGGGCCACAAGTTGCCATGGCATCCGGACCAGTCGGACCAACTTAAGGCCATTTCCCACTCGATTTCCTCTTCTGCCCAGTCCTGCTTGGCCAGAAGGTGTAACGTCACCAAGGCCTTCAGTTCGCCTTCAGTTAGTGGAATTCGCTTGCCTTATCTGGCCCAGATTGTTCGGTTTCTGATCGCCTCGGAGATGCAGGCAGTAGCACCAGCACATCGACAGGCTTGTGTCGTCGTGTGCGCGCATGCGGCAAAAAGACTGCTCTGAATCCCTCTGCCAGGCGCACATTCGTGTGCCTCCATGCGCCTACATGACTGTTGTTTAGCTTACGCCAACGAGACACGCAACTTGACCCAACTTGGCCATGGACTTGCTGACTCAATTTTGCACCAGACTGCTCTGTCTAAAATGCCCCTTCACGACTACCTTCCGGCCACCGTTCGCCCCAGCCACCCCGCGTTCTCATCTTTTCCTGCGGAAATATACACACATATAAATGGAACTATATATATATATATTTATGTATATAGACATATAGTTTTTTCAACTTCCAACTCAGCTCTCCTAGACTTTCCTGCCCACTTGAGCCATTTAGCCCTCGCCTACTTGGCCTGAAATGCCTAAGTTGATTCGTGTCTTCGCGGAATCACTAGCGTCACCGCTGCTCTTGGCCTATCGCCTAGGGCCGAATGTCTGAATTATCTTCACACCAGGACGTATTCTGCAGGTCGACTGGGTTCCTGTGCGGCCTGCCAACCGAAT